CCACCAGCATTGCAGCAATGCTCCTACACCATCAACTGCTTGGACTGGCCATGTTGTCCGAATGCCCGATCATTGTCTCCCAAAGCATTTATTATACTCTCAACTCAAGAACGGGAAATGTAATGTAAGAAGCAAAGACCACCAGCATTGAAGCGATGGCCCTCCGTTGTCCGGATGCCTGACCACCGTCTCCCAAAGCAGTTGCTCTACTCCGAACTCAAAAACGGAAAACAGAATGTTGGTGAACAGGAAAAGAAATTTAAAGATGGGCTCAAAGCCAACCTTAAAAACTCTGGCATAGTCACTGAGAACTGGGAAGCCCTGGCCCTTGAGCGCTCCAGTTGGCGGTCAGCTGTGACCAGCAGTGCTGCAGAATTTGAAGAGGCACAAATGGAGGGCAAAAGAGAGAAACGTGCCAAGAGGAAAGCGCGTCAAGCCAACCCCGACCAGGACCGCCTCCCACCTGGAAACCGATGTCCTCACTGCGGGAGAAGATGCAGATCAAGAATAGGGCTCCACAGCCACCTACGGATCCACCCCCAGGTTACCACTCTTATGTCGGACTACGAGGGATCGCCTGAGTAAGTAAGGTAATTATTTCCACTCTGGTTTCAAGTTGCATCACTGCATGAAACAGTGAGGAATCGTTGCAGTGCAAAGTCGTGTCCGAATGAAAATAAAAGATGACCTCTACAGACATGATCGAGAGCGTGACATTCCCTGACACTTTTTTTAGATGGAGGAAGGGAAAAACACAGGTGAAAAGGGTCCTGGAGAAGACACCAAAGCCAGGGTATTTGCAAAAGATGGCCAGGAAGAACCCCCTCTTCCCTCCCCTTTTCTCCAAGGCGACTGCAACAGTATTGTTGTGTTCTTCTCCAAATAAGCTCAGAGCCAAAGATCAAGAGGTACGGCAAAGATGCCTGACAGTCGGGTGGGAGGCAGAGCGTCAAGCTGATGAAAGGAACCAATAATTACCAAAAAAAGAAAAAAGAATGACCATGGGAAGCCTGAAGGGGTGAGAGAATCCTCCCGTCTGGGAAATGGATTTAGGGAAAACATTATTCAGATGTCAACACACAAAAAAAGGTGGGTGTGTTATTGGGGGCACTCATGAGAGGCTGGCACATGCCTGTGGGGCACTTCTTGCTGTCTGGCATCATCCAAACCATATTTCTTTTTTAATAGGGTTTATTAAAAGGGCCATCTTCTTCTTTAGCAATATTGCCATCTCTTTGGATCCTTCTGATGCTGCTGTAGTGACTGCAGCATGGGGGATGCCTGGCTCGAGAGCAGTACGTGTGAAAAAGATCTTGGAGTCCTCATGGACAACAAGTTAAACATGAGCCAACAATGTGATGTGGCGGCAAAAAAAGCCAATGGGATTTTGGCCTGCATCAATAGGAGCATAGTGTCTAGATCTAGGGAAGTAATGCTACCCCTCTATTCTGCTTTGGTTAGACCACATCTGGAATATTGTGTCCAATTCTGGGCACCACAATTCAAGAGAGATATTGACAAGCTGGAATGTGTCCAGAGGAGAGCGACTAAAATGATAAAAGGTCTGGAGAACAAGCCCTATGAGGAGCGGCTTAAGGAGCTGGGCATGTTTAGCCTGAAGACGAGAAGGCTGAGAGGGGATATGATAGCCATGTATAAATATGTGAGAGGAAGCCACAGGGAGGAGGGAGCAAGCTTGTTTTCTGCTTCCCTGGAGACTAGAACACGAAACAATGGCTTCAAACTACAAGAGAGGAGATTCCATCTGAACATGAGGAAGAACTTCCTGACTGTGAGAGCCGTTCAGCAGTGGAACTCTCTGCCCCGGAGCGTGGTGGAGGCTCCTTCTTTGGAAGCTTTTAAACAGAGGCTGGATGGCCATCTGTCAGGGGTGATTTGAATGCAATATTCCTGCTTCTTGGCAGGGGGTTGGACTGGATGGCCCATGAGGTCTCTTCCAACTCTTTGATTCTATGATTCTATGTGTTGGAGGCCCTCCTCCTCTCTGAACAGAAATAAGCTCACTTTTAGTTAGTAAAGCTTTTTTTCAACAATTGAGGCAACTTACTATATCTCAGTTATTGTCAAGACTGCCAAGCATCTCAAGCATTATGTATTTATAGGTATACAAGTCAAATATTATGTGGGCTATTCCCCCATTAGTCACAATGCAGTATACATTGTACTTTTTGTGGCCTTTCCAGTTAATCATTCTCCAGTTAATCAAAGTGTCTTCTCCTTCCTGCTCTCTCTGCCTTTCACATGAGAAAATCCTTGGGTAACTTTGCTCCCATAACAAGACATGTAACTCAGCCTGCATTCCTGGCTAATGACATTTCAGACATACCAGCCTTTGTTTTCTACTAAGTAGTTTCCAACGTTACCCATCCTCTCTGCAACATACGAGGGTTGAATGAAAAGTAAAGCCTCCACCTTCGCTACTTGGGTTTGGATGGGAATATTTTAATAAATCTAACACAGAAATAACCCTTAGAATGTGCTCTTTAATTACCACTATACACTTTTCCACATAATCACCAACTGCGACCGTACCTCGTGAAGGCTGATCTGGCCGGGGTGGTCCATGCCTTGGTCACCTCCAGATTGGACTACTGTAATGCGCTCTACATGGGGCTGCCCTTGAAAACGGCTCGGAAATTCCAACTTGTCCAAACGGTCGGCAGCCAGGTTGTTAACTGGTGCTCCTTACAGAGAGAGGTCAACCTTCCTGTTTAAGGAGCTCCATTGGCTGCCGTTCATCTTCCGGTCCCAATTCAAGGTGCAGGTGCTCACCTACAAAGCCCTAAATGGTTTGGGACCCGCCTACCTGCGTGGCCGTATCTCCACATATGAACCTACACAATCCCTTCGATCATCTGGAGAGGCCCTACTCACGATCCCACCTGCGTCGCAAGCGCGTTTGGTGGGGACGAGGGACAGGGCCTTCTCTTTGGTGGCCCCCTGACTCTGGAACTCTCTCCCCAAGGACATTAGACAAGCCCCAACATTGGCAGTCTTTAGGAAGAGCCTGAAGACTTGGCTGGTCCAGTGTGCTTTTCCAGAATAGGAAACTCCTAGCACCATGTCCCAAATGCACTTTGTTAGAGATTTAGGATTGTCTGCACATTGCACCTACCATCAAAACATCCACATTTCACCTGTCATGTCCAGCACTTTTAAATCTTGTTCATTACATTGGCCCGGCCTTATGTTTTAAATGCGTCATGGTGTCATTGTTTTTAGTGTTTTATTTTTTGCTTGATACACATGCAGAACCACCACCAGTGATGCCCATTACAGGAACTGGGCCAGGTTTCACACAGGACTGAACTATACTGTGAATTCTTCTCACATAGCATAGGTTCTCCATTGCTAGATGTTTTGGAACCCATCCCCCATAGCTTCTAACCATGAACTCTACTGACTCATATTTCTGTGGACTGAAGCCTGATAAAAAGGACCAAAGATTGAGATCTACTAGCTTAGATAGTACCAAGTGTGTGTAAGAAGAGTATGTCTCACACTTAAAAATGATTCAGCACACAAGGGTCTTCTTCCATCTATAGCCCAGCTTGATGAAAAGTTCTGAAGGACACAGAAGTTCACCAGTCTTTCATAGAGATGTCATCTTTGCTTCTTTTTTTCTCGTGGACAAGAATAAGAGCTTTCCAAAGTTTTCTCCCTTGGAAAGGATAATTGGTTTTGGCTTATGGGCTCAAGTCCAACCAGTTTCAAAGTTCAGAAGCCTTCTCAGAGGCATCTGCTTTACAGGTAACAAGGTTTCCCATTTGTGGGAGGCAGTCTCCATTTGCACTCTTTAGAAACTCCTTTTCCGACTGCCTTCATTTATCACAGAGGCAACTTGCAAAGAAGTGAACAATATAACTCCCCGGTCTTTTACAAATTATGAGGGCCCTCGAACAGGACAGGTTTTGAGTCTTTGGAGAAGAAAGAGCGAGATTTATTTTATTTCTTTGAAGAAAGGAACTATGACAATCTAATTCCAAGGCACATTTTTTCTGATTGTTCCTGGACCGTATCGTTCACAATTAAAATAAAATGCAGTAAAAAGCCCTGGGCTTTCAATGAGCAATGTTGAGATGACAAAAGCTCTGGATTAATCAAAGTCCCTAATTATATTTCATGCAGAGAGAGAGAGAAAGAAAGAAATAGATATTAGGAAGAGAAATAGAAAAGAGACACTTATTTGATTCAAGATTTGTGATTGCTTCCCAATGCTTATTAGCCTGTGATGGACAATCCATTTAATCCAATGTTTCTCAGTCTGGGGGTCGGGACCCCTGGGGTGTCACGAGGGAGTGTCAGAGGGGTCACCAAAGCCCATCAGAAAACACAGTATTTACCATTGGTCATGGGGGTTCTGTGTGGGAAGTTTGGCCCAATTCTAATTTAGTCATTGATGGGGTTTAGAATGCTCTTTGATTGTAGGTGAACTATAAATCCCAGCAACCACAACTCCCAAATGCCGATGTATATTTTCTCCAAACTTCACCAGTGTTCAAATTTGGCCATATTGAGTATTCATGCCAAGTTTGGTCCAGATCCATCATTGTTTGAGTCTACAGTGCTCTCTGGATGTAGGTGAACTACAACTCCAAACTCAAGGTCAATGCCCACCAAACTCTTCCAGTATTTTCTGTTGGGCATAGGAGTTCTGTGTGCCAAGTCTAGTTCAATACCATCACTGGTGGAGTTCAGAATGCTCTTTGATTGTAAGTTAACTATAAATCCCAGCCACTACAACTCCCAAATTTCAAATCAACCCCACCCCCATCCCCACCAGTATTCAAATTTGGGCGTATTGGGTATTTGTGCCAGATTTGGTCCAGTGAATGAAATTACATCCTGCATATCAGATAATTACATTATGATTCATAACAGCAGCATTCTTTTCCAGAAAGGCACTTTCAGCATGTAGTATAACCATGGATCATACATAGGAAGCAATTAACATTCTTTTCATGTTTTTTTCATTGTAGAGAATCCCAGAGAATCTTGCTTTGACCCAGGTCTGATTAAGAATGGTACCCGGGCAGGAACTGAGTTGAAACTTGGATCAACTATTACCTACTATTGCGATAGTGGCTACATAATTGAAGGGGCATCCACCTTGACGTGCATCATGGGAGCTGATGGGAAACCTGTGTGGAACAAACCACGGCCTGTGTGCACAGGTAAGTTGTAGGGAATGACAAGTTGAACATCATGTTAAACATCCAGTTACATTGGTATGGATAATGCATGAGCATAATTTGTGGAGACCCATTGAATCAATGGAAGTCACCTATGTGTTGACTCACCTTCAGCAGTTAATTGAATGGGTCTACTCTAGTTGGGACTAACAAAGTTCAAGTCATAGTGTTATTATTCGCTGTTAAATCAGTTCCAAAGTATGGAGACCTTATGAAAGAACCTTGGTCATCAACAGCTATGCCCATGTCTTGCAGATTTGAGCCATGGTTTGCTGAATTGAATCAATTCACATGTAATGTAGTTTTCCTCCTTTACCCAGTATTGTTGTTTGCAATAAGTTGAGATCTATGCTGATATGTCCAAAGTACAATGGCCTCAATTCAGTCATTTTGGCTTCTAGGAAAAGTTCGGCCTTGACTTGCTCCCAGACCCAACTCTTTGACTTTTTTGGCTGTCTGTTGTATCTGTAGAACTCATCTTCAGGCTACACTTCAGATTGGTTGGTTGTGTTCTTACCAGCTTTCTTTAGTGCCTTGTTTTCACAAAAATAAAAAATACTCTATCTTCAAAATGTATTTTATTTGTATTCTACCTTTTTCCCAAGAAGGAATCCAGGATGTTCCATGTCGAGTTAAGAGCAAAGTATATTAAAAATTTTCAAAAAACAATGAACACTTCCATTCAATAACTACATCGCTCTATTAAAGCATCTATATAAATAAAAATGTCATGTTCGTTTGTGGGATTAACATAACTCAAAAACCGCTAGACAAATTGATACCAAATTTGGACAGCATACACCTAACAACCCAATGAGTGATCATCACTCAAAAAACCCTTCCAAAAACAGTGAAAGGGACTTTAAAACCCAAACATGATTAAAAAAAAAAAGGTACAGTGCATGCGTGAAAATGACCCACTGGCCATGCCCCCTCCTGCACGAGGGGGAAAAAACAAACGGCTGCAGGGAGCATTGAACGCTCTGGTGGGCTGGGCAGGCAGACTCTCGGCTTCCCCAGGCCCTCCCCCCTCACTCTCCCACCTGCTAGCCCCACAGGGCCCCTTCCTTCCTTGCCTTTGGGCCTACCCTTCCCCCGCCATGCTGGGGCCTCGAGTGGGCCCTCCTTACCTCCCCCCCCCATCTCCATGCTCTCTTTGTCGGCCCCACCAAACACGGGCCCTCCTCCTTTTCCCCCGATGAGGCGAGCAGGTGGCTCCCTTCCTGCCAGTGCCCTGGCAAGAGGGAGAGAAGGGGAAAAAAAGGGAAGGAAAGAAAGAGGGAGGGAATATTGAGAGAACGAAAGAAGGCGGGAAAGAAAGAAGAAAAGACAGAAGGAAGAATGGCAGCAAAGAGCAAAGGAAGGAAAGAAAGAGGTAGAGAAGGAAGAAAGGAGAGCAAGAAGGAAAAGAAAATGAGGGAGGGAGGAAAGAGGGAAGGAAAGAAAAGAAAGGAATGAACAAAGGAAAAAGGGAGGGAAGGAAAGAGAGAGAGAGAGAGAAAGAGGGAGGGAAGGTTGGCCACAGCAACGCATGGTGGGTACAGCTAGTAGTAAATAAAAATATAATACAGTAAGGCCATACATGTGGGACCAGGACCCACAGTTTTACCTACCTGCCTCTGACAAAATATGTCTCTTTTAGGAATTTTCTAAGTCTTCCAGGTGATTCTATGGCATGCTTTTGCCAGAAATTATTTTACAGCCACCTTGGAGGACGTTGCAAATTCCTAGGGAGGTAGTCCAGTATATTTTATTTATTTATTATTATTTATTTATTTACAGCTTTTGTATTCCGCCCTTCTCACCCCGCAGGGGACTCAGGGCGGATTACAGTGTACACATATATGGCAAACATTCAATGCCAATTTTTGACATACAACATAGACAGACATAGACAGAGGCTATTTAACTTTTTCTGGCCGCCAGGGGAGCTGTCGCTTTCATCGTCCATCTGCGACACTGATGAAGTACTTCCGCATTCCCCGCATGCTTTTTGCTGGAGTGCTTGCTGGAGTCTTTTTTTATGGCCTCATAAATTAGTTAATTTAGCCTCCCCACACTTTAAGGTGGTACCTAATTTTCCTACTTGACAGATGCAACTGTCTTTCGGGTTGCAAAGGTCGACAACAGGCTACACAATTGGTTGGAAACCCACTCCAACCCGGGCTGGCTTTGAACTCATGACCTTTTGCTCAGAGTGATCTTAATGCAGCTGACACTCAGCCAGCTGCGCCACAATCCCGGTGCTGTTTATATCCACCATCTGGATACAGGCCTGTAGCGGGGGGGGGGGGGGGGGGGGGGGGTTAGGGGTTCAACCCCCCCCCCAAATTTTTCAGGTTAAAAAAAACCTGGTTTACTCATGAATTTTAACTGGTTAACCAAATCCCCATGCTAAGTCTATGAGACGAAAAAAATTAAGAGTCCCTCCAGAATTGCAAGCACTACCTCACTATCTCAAATATTGACAATGTATTCACACTGTGATTACTTGCAGCAATAGCCAATGTAGCAAAGCAACCAAGTTGGGGTGGGGGTTGGGTGTTGAATGCTCTCATTAAGGAGACCAGACTTGGTGGAGGTGGTTGACAGGGCGGAGCTGCAGGCTATTGAAGGCTGCTCTGCCCCCTGCTATGCTCTTTGCTTCAGTGTGACCCTAACCCCCTCCCCAGATTTCAACCCCCCTCCCCAAAATTTTCAAACCCCCCCCCTGAATTTTCAACCCTCCCCCAAAAAATTTTCTGGCTACGGCCCTGCTTAGACAGGTGAAAATCCCTCACCCTGGATGATCGAGTCTGCCAGTTTTGTTTCTTTGAGATTTTGAATTGGTGTTCATTTCCAATTATTTTCACCCTGAATCTGAAAAAAAGGTCCCAAACGGTGTGAGCAATGGAAAGAAATAGAATTCTCATTTGACCCTCTTGACCAACTTGAAAAGTTATCTTTCATACCCAACCCACTCCCAAAATCGGCTATCAAGGTTGTACAAGTCACTAACTGACTTGTGTATATTTTTGCTTTCAAGTTACTTATTGACTTAGGACAACCCAACAAATTGTGTAAGTTTTCCTTAAGCAAGGACTGCTCAGAGATGGTTTTGCTGGTTTCTCCCTCTGAAAGAGAGTCTACTTTCCCTGGTGTTCATTGGTAGTCTCTCATCCAAGTTCCAATCAAGGATGACTCTGCTTAGTTTCCATGGTCAGATAGGGCCTATGCCTTTGAAGTATTGAGGCGATAATAACCCATAAAGCATGTCCTCTTCAGAGATCAAAAAGATTGTGGGGTAAGGCAAGCAACACATACTTTAAGGTGTTCTTCCTTGTAGTCAATGGCACAGTGATCCTCATGAAATATGTATCAGGGACAAGCTCTGCTTAGGGTGAATTCTGTATTTCCATAATGAGAATCTGCAGCATGCACATGCTGTGCGTTGAATTAAAAGAATGCACAAGGAGGGCTCTTTGGGGGGAGAAGGGGGGAAGGAATAGGAGAAGGAATGCTCTCCAAACTACCTTTTTTGAAAAGAAAATTCTCTTCATTTCAGCACCGTGTGGAGGACAGTACACAGGATCAGATGGGGTCGTCCTGTCTCCAAACTACCCTCGGAATTACACCAGTGGACAAGTGTGCCTCTATTTCATCATGGTACCCAAAGACTATGGTACATAAATTGGATATTCTTGAACAGCGGTTCCTTGAGGGAGGGAATAAACCAAGCTTGGTAGCTCTTGGGTGTATTGACTTTCCCCGGAGGACTGCCCCATCATAAAATTTGCCACCAATTTTTTCCAGTGCCTTCTAGGGCCCATAAGACAGCAAGATAGTCACATCTTCAACTCTCTCTGGCCATTTTCAGATAAGGCACTTTTTGTTTTCATTTCAATGGAATTGAATAAAAAGTCAGTTGGGGTTCGGGGATCCACAAAATGGCCCTAGGAGGCACAAATGGTTTGAAGATTGATCTTTCCCCACCCACATTCTACCATATATCAGTTGTTGGTTCTTCAGGCTGGAACTCAAAAGATGCCTCATATCCCTAAGACCATCCCATATCTATACATTTCCAAAAGTTGATAGACATATAATATGAAATCAGTGTGCTTGGTAGCTACCTACCTACTCTAGTAGCCCAGATTTCCCTTGTCAGGTTGATGAATTTATGAGAATGAGCAAGTTTGTAGTAGGCTTGTGCACAGATTCAGAGAGGTCCGTTCCCTTCAGCCCATCTAGTTTGTTTGGCATGGTCGGATGGCCGTAACGATAAGGGCTCAGCCATCACATTTTTTCATCCATAACGGGACCACATGGCAGCCAATTCTACACAATGCAGTGCATGGAGAGACTGCCACATGCTGCTCACACAAGGTTTCCCTGTGAGCCCGGCCTGTTGGGCCAATCAGAATACAAGAATAATATGACGTTTTTTACACACTGCTTCCTTAACTCCGTTGCTGAAACCCAGACTTCCTTAAAAAGGAAGAAAGAAAAGGGCCTCAGGAAGGACGCTTCCTTAACTCCATGCTTCAAACCCAGACTCACTTGAAAGGAAGATAGGAAAGGATCCCAGCAAGGATGCTTCCTTAACCCCATTTTTCAACCCCAGACTCCCTTGAAAAGTATATAGGAAAGGCTCCCAGGAAAGATGTTTCCTTAACCCTGTTCTTCAAACCCAGACTCACTTGACAGGAAGATAGGAAAGGGTCCCAGGAAGGATACTTCCTTAATTCCGCTCTTCAAATCCAGACTCCCTTGAAAGGAAGGTAGGAAAGGATCCCAGGAAATATGCTTCCTTAACCCAGCTCTTCAAACCCAGACTCACTTGACAGGAAGATAGGAAAGGGTCCCAGCAAGGATGCTTCCTTAACCCCATTRTTCAAACCCAGACTCCCTTGAAAAGTATATAAGAWAGGGTTCCAGGAAAGATGTTTCCTTAACCCTGTTCTTCAAACCCAGACTCCCTTGAAAGGAAGGTAGGAAAGGGTCCCAGGAAGGATGTTTCCTTAACCCCATTCTTCAAACCCAGGCTCCCTTGAATGAAAGACAGGAAAGGGTCCCAGGAAGGATGTTTCCTTAACCCCATTCTTCAAACCCAGACTCCCTTGAATGAAAGACAGGAAAGGGTCCCAGGAAGGATGCTTCCTTAACCCTGTTCTTCAAACTCAGGCTCTCTTGAAAGAAAGATAGGAAAGGGTCTCACGAAGGATACTTCCTTAACCCCATTCTTCAAACCCAGACTCCCTTGAAAGGAAGATAGGAAGCAGTCCCAGGAAGGATGCTTCCTTAACTCTGTTCTTCAGAGTCAGGCTCTATTGAAAGAAAGATAGGAAAGAGTCCCAGGAAGGATACTTCCTTAACTCTGCTCTTCAAACTCAAGAGTCCCTTGAAAGGAAGGTAGGAAAGGATCCCAGGAAATATGCTTCCTTAACCCTGTTCTTCAAACCCAGACTCACTTGAAAGGAAGAAAGAAAAGGATCCCAGGAAGAATTCTTCCTTAACCACATTCTTCACATCCAGACTCCCTTGAAAGGAGGATAGAAAATTGCTGCCAATGGGGCGGATATTTCCGGATCTTTCGACTACCTAGCCAAAAAGAGATTTTTCCATTAGCTGATTTTTGAGAGGCTCCCAAAAATGGATCTGGGTACCCAATGATATCTGAATACCAAAAATGGATCATCTTCCAGCCAAATTTCACAAACCTAGTTTTAAACAGTGTAGACCACTCGGTAATTTCCCTTTTTTAAAAAAGTGGTTCTTTTGCCACTTTTGTCTAAAGTAAACCCATTGAATCTATGTAGTGTGCTCATGTGTTGACCTACCATTCAACAATTGACTCAATAGCTACACGGTCTTTGAGACCAACCAATAGGATTCTAGCCACTAACGGATCCAGTTAGTAACCCCAAAAGTAACTTTTCTAAGCTCTATTGCTAGCTTGTCAGCATTTTTAAGGTAAGAACTTGCTAGGGAATTTCCCCAACTAGCTTCAGAGGGAAATAGGGAGTGGGCTGATTTTGCAAAGATTGCAAACATTGTCGCCGGCTTTGCTGTGAAAATTTCCCAACAAAGAGGGACCGGGGAGCTTGCGAATCTGTAAACAGGCCTTTACAAGCTGCAAATCACAGGTCTCGCAAGTGAAAAACAAGTGATGACAACAACAAGAATTTGAGCCTCGGGGTTTCAAGGCGGAAAGCTGCAGTTGTGCTTTGAAAATATATGTATATATATATCTGCATGTGCGCACACACATAAATAACCCAAAACCTTTAGAAAGCAGCTGTTTTTTTAAAAGAAATCTAATGAGCTTGCTGTTATTTCTTTTCCTTCTCACTTTTTAGGGAGGGGGAGAAATTCTGCTTGTCACCCAGGAACATTTACAATGAAAGCAATAATTTTGAAGGGAGAAAAACTGAATGTAGTGAGAACATTTCTCCTGGGCTCAGTTGAAACATGCATTAATTCTGCCCAACCCACACTTATTTTCAATAGGATTTCTGATCTCGATTAAGTGCTCAACATCTATAGTTCTCACCCTGTCTCTTGGAGGTGGGCAATAGTGATTTTTTGGCTCCAGTCATTGAGCCGTAGGTCACTTCCAGCTTGGGAATGTACCTTTTAAAATATTAATTATGTGTATTCTTTGAAGTCTCCAAAGGAAGTCAAGTCTCAGTTGGCATGAGCCTTACAAGAAGTTCAAATAATGCCAGGACTATCCATCTCCTTTTTCTTGGCCCCTAATATCCATGCATTGTAGTAGTTTTTTTCAATGCTTATATCAGTAGAAGTTCCTTTGAGTTGTCATGATCGGTATATTTCCATCAAGAGATTAGAAAAGTTACTTTTAAAACACAATGAAGTGTTGCATGATATAGTTATAATGAAAGAAAAAACTATTGTTTCCTACTTCTGAAACGTAATTCATAAAGAGTGTATGTGATTGAAAAGTTCCCAGTTTTCTTCCTGTTTTTTTTCATAGTTAATATAAATTGATCTGTGGAGCAGGAACAAAAAAAAATCTTTGATTGTATTGAGAGCAGATAAAAAAAATCTGGTATAAACAACACATGTATGGATCTCCAAAACAAAATTGGAATGAACAGCAACAAAATCTGGGACCTTCTGGTCTTTTAGTCCAATTGGATGCCCCGATAGCAGCTTTTAGTTTCTGGTTGGGGGGGGTGGGGAGCGAGGTTACAAATAGGAATGATTTTGAAATGATAGAATATTTCCCACTACATCCACAGAGTAAATTTGCTAAATCTCCAAACCTGATTCTGCGTCCCCATTTTTCGGAGGAATCTGTAGTCAGACAATGGTCCAAATTCTCCAGTTTCAATTCTGGGCAAGAAGACAGGGATATGGGCAAATCTCCAGTGAGGAGAACAGCTGCTTGCTATGATTTGCAAGGTTTCCTTGCAGGGTTGTAAATATTTGCAAGGATTCCACAGTTAGCTTTCTATTATTGAAGTTTGAGGATCCACCATCCACTCTGCTGGTGAAAGTAAGGAAGCTAAGCCGCCCTGAGTCCCTCTGCGGAGGTCGAGATAGGATGGGATATAAATGTCCAAAATAATAAATAAATAAATAAAATGGCCCTTAACCTTTCACCTACGTGAAATTCTTAGGTTTTGAAAGCTCTTTCTTGCTCTAATTCCTTCCTTCCTTTAATAATGCCTTCTTTTGTTGACAGTGGTGTTTGGCCAGTTTGCCTTTTTCCAGACGGCTCTCCATGACATCATTGAAGTCCATGATGGTCCTAACCAGCATTCCCGCCTCCTTAGTTCTCTTTCTGGTTCTCACACTGGTAAGAACTGGATGCTTCTGTCTCCAAGTCCAGTTGGTTTCCAAAGATGAAACAGGTTTGAGGCTCATAGGTAAAGCTTTTCCCCTGACATTAAGTCTAGTCGTGTTCGACTTTGGGGGTTGGTGCTCATCTCCATTTCTAAGCCGAAGAGTCAGTGTTGAATGTAGACACCTCCAAGGTCATGTGGCTAGCATGACTGTATGGAGCTCCGTTACCTTCCCACCAGAGTGGTACCTATTGATCTATTCACATTTGCATGTTTTCGAATTGCTAGGTAGGCAAAAGCTGAGGCTAACAGTGGGAGCTCACCCCACTCCCCGCATTTAACCTGCCAACCTTTCAGTCAGCAAGTTCAGCAGCTCAGCGGTTTAACTTTCTGTGCCATCAGGGGCTCCATTGAGGCCCATAGAAGGATCCAAGTGGCCAGTTGGAGGGGCCAACTTTCCAGCCATTTTTGCTTGAGTGTCAGCTCAGTTCAAAGATGTCTTGTTTAGAGATGACTTGTTTAGAGGAACAGACAAACTAGGGTTACAGCATTTTGTTTTTGCCTTAGGCTATATTACCGTATTTATTTACTCAAGTCTAATGCGCCATCGAATCCAATACATACCTCAATTTTCAAAACCCTAAAACCCAAAAAAGTATTTAACGTATTACCCGAATCTAATGTGTGCCTTATTTGGGGAGGGACATTTAGTCACAAAGGTGAGCGTTAGAATTGAGTAAATGTGTTGTTGTTGTTGTTGTTCTTATTTCATCTACAGTAGGACCCAATAACTGTGGAACCCGTATCCATGTATTATCTACCTGCATCTAGGAATTTGCTAGGTCCTGTAGGCAATTCTATGGTATGCTTCCCTCAGAAGTTGCCATAAAAGTTGCAAATTCCTAGACACTAATCTTTTCTAATAATGATTTTGACCTCCAACACCACTCTATGGTATTCTGGGACCAAAATCAGGTAGTTAAATGCGTTTCAGGCTGGATCTACACTGCCATATAATCCAGTTTCTGAATCGATATTATCTGCTTTGAACTAGATTATATGAGTCTACATTGCTGTACATTCCAGTCCAAAGCAGATAATCTGGATTCAGAAACTGGATTATATGGCAGTGTAGATGTCATGTCTGTGGTTTCGAATAAGCCCAATCCAGCAAGGAACAGATCTTCCACTCATACAGTAATCTTACTGTATTGTATTTTTTTTTTCCTTCTCAGGCTCCTCCTTTACAAATGCACTTTTTCTATTTCCTACCTCATCCAGGGTTTTAATGTTTTTATCATTTTATCTTGCACATTTGGCCCGCCCTGTGTGATTGATTTTATTGTGATTTTATTGCGTTATTCTTGTGCTGGTACAGCTGTACCAGAAGCTCCCACTTTATTTGCCTTGTATTAAGTGTTTGCTTGCAGCCCAAGGCTTGGGATTCTGCAGAAGGGTGGCTTCCTGTTAAAGTTTGCAGTTATAGGGCAGGCCCCCTGTCCATCATCGTTAAGTTTGGTTCTGCCTCCTGTTCAGGACAATTGTGAAGGGAAGGGAGCCATTTTCAGTCAGTCTCAGCAAAGGAAGTCAATGTACAGGATGTGCACAGACTTTCTCCTGTACAAAGGCTTCAACCCTTAAGACTTCCCGGGGGAGAACAGTTTTTAAGAGCATCTAAAGATTCCCAAAGGTTCCCAGGGAAGCAGACTTACAGCCCTGAGGAATTTCGGAGGGAATAACAGCTTTAAACATCAAGAACTCCAGCTAAGTGACTACAGGCCTACTGGTAGGTCCACTCGGTTTTGAGACGCAGTTCAGCCCAGTAGTGGATCCACATCAGTTAGGTTTAGGATCACAGTTAGCCTGGGAGAAGTTTGGAGAGGGATTTTCCTTTAGAGTAAAGTAACAGTTAGAAGCCACCAGTTGCACAAAGCCTGGAAGCATTTGTTTAACCTTTTGAAGACCAAAGAAGTTTCTATTGATTGTTCACCAATAAAAGACTTTGTTATATTTTACAAGCCCTCTAGAGACTGTTTATGGTGAAAATCCTGACAAATTTCTCTTCGGGCCCCCTGGCTTCCCGCTGGGCTAAAGTTACACGTCCTGTATTAAAGGCAATTTATTTCAAGCCCAGCGCGCAACAGAACAATTCTGCATTGTCTATTTTATTTTGTTGCATTATGTATTTTGTTGTGTTTAATTTTCTGTTGTTTTGTATTTTATTTCGTTGTATTGTTTTTGGGCTCGGCCTCATTTTAGCTGCCCCGAGTCCCCATTGGGGAGATGGTGGCGGGGTATAAATAGAGATGGTGATGATGATGATTATTATTAAAATCCACCTATATTGGGGTTACTGGGTCATCTGAAAGTTTAATAAATGAATAAACAAACAAGCATTTCTTATTCTATTGTGTTTTGAAGTGAGATTGTCTTTTCTTTGTTTCTTTCCCCTTCTTGTAGGTGAGTCCTTGCCTCTGGCCACCACCAACCAAATACTGATCAAGTTTAGTGCCAAAGGTCAAGCCACTGCCAAAGGTTTCCATTTTGTCTACCAAGGTGGGTAGAAAATATCACTCTGTTCCAAAAAAAATTGGGTCATGCTTCTATATCACAGTGTGCATTGCATAACATTGTGTATACTAAGCAACACAGCAGAATGGCTAGGGAGCTTTTCTCGTGAATTGCAAGCATCCATAACACTCACCAGCAAGCGTGTCCCAGTGTGCATTGGGCTCTTCTGATGTGCATCGGTCCTCCCTAGCCAATGTGCCTTGGGAACAACGAATGCCAGTCAGTCCCAAGATGTATCTGTCCCGATGGGCCTCAGTCATTTTGCTGGATCACAACATCATGACAGCCTCTTGCTGCATACAGACATAGGAGAATTGCTCAGTTCCATTTCTTGCAGATTTAAGTTTATTTGTGTCGATTCAAGTCCCATACTGAATTCGAGCTGTGATCAATCATCCTAGACCAATTGAAATGGAGACCCTTATTTAGTCAACACAAAGGCCAACAGGAAAAGCCCCTGCAGGAGTAGCTGGAAGATTTGCTGCCAATATTTCTCTGAACGAAGGAGAAAATGGTATCCAATAGTTGAAAACGGACACATTTTATTTATTTATTTATTTATTTATGTATTTATTTATTTATTTATTTATTTATTTATTTAATTTACTATATTACTTCTCAGCCCTTAGGCACTTCAGGGCAGTTTACAATGGCAACAATTTGATGCCCAAAAACACCATAAAAATTTTTTTTATTTATTTACACCATTTCTACCCCGTCCTTCTCACCCCCGAAGGGGGACTCAGGCGGGCTAACACAGGCAACAATTCAATGCCAACAATATCAGTTACAAGAATATAAAATCCTAGTACATAGCAAATTAAAACAGTAATATTAATTAAAATTACATAATCACATAGAACAAATCACATAATCACAAGTCACATAGCCATTTCCGGTTGTCATAACAAACCTATTGTCTGGGTGCCTAAAGTGCTGCTGTGCCCACTAGCTTTTTCCTTCCTTCATGTCCCTCCTTCCTTCCTTCTTCCTTTCCTTCTTTCTGTGTAAGATATAAATACAATATTAAATGGAAGGGACAGTCAAGAAGTAACGAGAGAAGGAGGGAAAGAAAGAGGGAAGGAAGGAAGGAGAGAAGCAGGGAGGGAAAGAAAGAAAGAAAGAAAGAAAGAAAGAAAGAAAGAAAGAAAGAAAGAAAGAAAGAAAGAAAGGAAGGAAGGAAGGAAGGAAGGAAGGAAGGAAGGAAGGAAGGCCAGGAATTAGAGAAGGAAATAAAAAAAAGTGAAAGGTAAAAGAGAGGGAAGGAAGGAAGTATGTAACCAAAGAGCAAAGAAAGGGAGGAAAGAAACAGGTAGAGATGGAAGAAAGAAGATAGGGAAAGAAAAAGAGGAAAGGAAGGAAAGAGGGAAGGAAGGAGAGAAAGAGGGAGGGAAGGTTGGCCACAGCAACGCGTGGCAGGTACAGCTAGTAATAATAATAATAATAATAATAATAATAATAATAATAATAATAATAAGCAATGTGCAGTAATGTTCTTTGGCTATTGTCAGCAACGCTTCCTCAGAGAATGCAGGCATGACGGATGAGGTTAAGAGCCCGTCCCCTTGGACACAGATATTGCGTGTGCCTGTGAAGAGTCAGTTGCCTCTGTGCATGTGCAAAGCACCTTGTGGCATGTCGCCAATGAATAAGTGGAAACACCGCTTGGAGATGCTTGTGACAGTTCTGCTCTCCCTGCGGTGTTTTTCAAAGCCTTGATTGGAAGCTTCTAATTAACGACTGTGTGTGCGTCTGTGATTTATCCCAGAGGGGGAGAAGCAGGCCAAGCCATCAGATGCCGCTTCTTCCCGCGAGGGCTTTGTACTTTTGGATAGCCCCTGGAAATCCTGGGGATTGTCAGCTTGTGCCACCAGAGGAAGGCTGAACTCTGATTCCTTCTGATGCTTTCCCCCCACTAATCAGAGAACTTTTCAATCGACTCTCTCTCCCTAATTATAGAGGGATTTGGATAGCAATTGTTAATGATTTAACTAAATCAAAGACTTTGATGAAGTGAAATAAAGATTGCCTCCTTCCCTCCGGAGGGGTTAATTGCAACTCCTCCTGAGCTTCACAATCACTCCTGATTGCCTCTTGGAGAGACATAACAACAGAAGCACACGCCCCACGGCATCTGACCTCCCCAGGCACAAATCAAACACTCTTCTCTTTTCCCTTGGTTTGCCTTTGAAGGCCAGCCCAGGTCCCCCTCTCCAAGCTGAATAGGGGAGATAATGCATAGCTTCAGATGTATCTGAGTGGTTTGGGTATGGAAGTTCCTAGCAACCAGCAAAGCATAGTTCTATGGGGTCAACTGTAATTGAATAGTGAGCCTCATTATCCTAAATGCGCTGACCTTGGAAGCTAAGCAGAGACAGACCTGGCTAATACTTGGAGGAGAAACCAATGAATGCCACGTGATGTGAGTTATACTGCAGAGGAAGGAACTGGCCAAACTGCCTCTGATCTCAGAAGCAAAGGAAGGTCAGCTATGGTTAGTACTTGGGTGGTAGGTTTTATTTAGTGGAGGGAAACAGCAAACCACCTTGAGATTTGGCTGCTGTGACAGTCTGGATGAGGACGAACAAATTGAAGTTGTATTGTCGAAGGCTTTCATGGCCGGAATCACTGGGTTGTTGTAGGTTTTTTCAGGCTATGTGGCCATGTTCTAGAAGCATTCTCTCCTGACGTTTCGCCTGCATCTATGGCAAGCATCCTCAGAGGTAGTCTACATCTGAGGATGCTTGCCATAGATGCAGGCAAAACGTCAGGAGAGAATGCCTCTAGAACATGGCCATATAGCCCGAAAAAACCTACAACAACCCAAATTGAAGTTGAATCCTGACAAGACAGAGGTCCTCCTGGTCAGTCGCAAGGCTGAACAGGGTATAGGGTTACAACCTTTGTTGGATTGGGTGACATTCCCTATGAAGGTGCAGGTTCGCAGCTTGGATGTCCTCCTGGACTCATTGCTGAGCCTGGAACCTCAGGTTGCGGCGGTGGCTAGGGGGGCTTTCGCACAATTAAAACTTGTGCATCAGACTTGGACATAGTGGTCCACGCTTTTATTACATCCAGGATAGACTACTGCAACACGCTCTACATGGGGTTGCCTTTGAAGACTGTTTGGAAGCTTCAAATAGTCCAACGAGAGGTTAAAAAGTGGGGCGGCATACAGGGAGCACATAACTCCCATGTTACATCAGCTGCACTGGCTGCCTTTTTGCTACCAGGCAGAATTCAAACTGCTGGCTTTGGCTTATAAAGCCCTAAACAGCCCCGGCCCAGTTTGCCAGTCTGAACGCATCTCCCTTTTCCGAACCACCACAAAGACTAAGGTCTTCTGGAGAGGTCCTGCTCTCGGTCCCACCACCATCAAAGGTGAGTTTGGTGGGGATGAGAGACAGGGCTTTTTCATAGATTGCATCCCCCCCCCCCCCATGGAACTCCCTTCCTGGCATCATTAGATCCCCTTCATTAGACCTGGATGTGGGAACAAGCGTTTGGGGCAGTGCAATGAAGCAATAATAGAATGGTGTCCTGAGATGATTTTTAAGCAACTGATTTTAAAGTGGATATAAGTGATTTGAATGTTTGAGTATATTTATGGTTTTATGTCCCAGCATTGAATGTTTACCATATATATGTTGTGCTCTGCCCTGAGTCCCCTGCAGGATGAGAAGGGCGAAATATAAAAGTTTCTCATAATAATAATAATAATAATAATAATAATAATAATAATAATAATAATTTGCCTTGGAGCTTTGATACGGACACTGCTTGACAAAGAGTCATGTCCTGATCCATTTCTTGCATTTCCTGTTTCATTGTATTCACATTTTAGAAGGCTGCTCTAGATCCAACTCGCCCAGTTTTCTATATGCAAAATGGTTGCATCAAGGGGTTGTTTGATTTGTTGTGTATTCTGCTATGTAACCTTCCCCTCTTTATATTTCTTTAAGCGGTCCCAAGAACCAGTGCCACGCAATGCAGCTCTGTCCCGGAGCCCCGCTATGGGAGACGGATCGGCAGTGATTTCTCCGTTGGGGCTGTGATTCGCTTTGAGTGCAGCGCTGGCTATGCCCTCCAAGGGTCCCGTAGCATTGAGTGCCTGACGATGCCTGGGGCTCTTGCCCAGTGGAACGCATCTGTGCCTACTTGTGTTGGTATGTACCCCTTGAAACCCCAAAAGGGCTGGGAAGGGCTGAGTGAGAGACCAGAGCTGGGCCTTAGCGGTGTGGGATAGGGGCCCTGATGGATGCGAATTGCATTCCACAGAGTATACGACTGCTTTAAGGATAATTTTGGTACGGCTTTTGAAAAGCAGCTGGAATACACCAAAGGCAACAGATCTTGGAAGCTAAGATTAATGCAGCCTGCCTATTGTTATAAAGCATTGTATTTAAATGATAGCGTGGTGATTTTCCTCCCCTGTGCTCATCATCCTCACATCAGATCAGTTGACATTCTGAGTGTAGTCTACTTGACTACAAATTGTAGATCAAGGATTTATGGCTGCTGGCTGGTGCCAATGGAAGTCGTAAAATGCTTGGCAGCTGAGATGGCTTCAAATTGAGATTGAGACAAAGTCATGGAAGAGGAGAGATCTCTCAATTAATAGCTGCCATGATTTATTTATCATACCAGAAGTGAACCGAGGGTACAGTTGTAATGTATTTTAAAAACACAAAGTTTAAAAAACTTGCCACTATACTAAATGTCCTTTGACCAGTAGCTGGCTACTTGGAGTGCCTCTGGTGTTGCTATAAGAAGGTTCTCCATTGTGTATGTGGCAGGACTCAGACTTTGTTGTAATAGATGGTCTGTGGTTTGCTCTTCTCCACATTCACATGTTGTGGACTCCACTTTGTGGCCCCATTTCTTAATGTTGGCACTGCATCTCGTGGTGCCAGAGTGCAGTCTGTTCAGCACCTTCGAAGTCACCCAGTCTTCTGTGTGCCCAGGAGGGAGTCTCTCATTTGGTATCAGACATGACTTGAGATTTCAGGTTTTAGCCTGCCACTTTTGGACTCTCACTTGCTGAGGTGTTTCTGCAAGTATCTCTGTAGAGCTTAGAAAACTATTTCTTGATTCAGCGTAGTGAGATGTGTTCCACATTGGGCATGCGTACTGAGCAGCAGAGTAGCAAAGCGCAGGAGCAGATGTCTTCACTGTATCTGGTTGTGATCCTCAGGTTGTGCCAGTCAGCTTTCGTATGATACTGTTTCTAGCACCCACTTTTTGCTTGATATTCAAGCAGTGCTTCTTGTAGGTCAGAGGACTGTCTAGGGTAACATACCAGGTGCCGTGATATAGACATCATATTCCATATTGGAAACAAAGCAGATTCAGCTGCAGTTAATACTTGGATGGGAACCTTTATTTAGAGCAGTGGTCCTCAACCTGTGGATCCCCAGGTGTTTTGGCCTACAACTCACAGAAATCCCAGCCAGTTTACCAGCTGTTAGGATATCTGGGAGTTGCGTACTCAAAACATCTGAGGACCCACAGGTTGAGAACCATTGAAGGAAATTGCAAACCACCTTTGAGTATTCCTTGCCTGAGTTTACGCTATCATTTTAATAAAATCCATGAATCAAAATCTGCAAAAGCTGTTACTCTAGTACCTAGGAGAGCACCTTTCAAATTCAAACTTAGTCCAGGGGAGATTCACTGGCCAAGTGAGACAAAAGTTAACCATCTTCCAATGCTTTTAGATTGGGTTGAAAGTAAAGCCTCACAGTACCATTAGATCATTAAGCTGCCAGAGATTGCACTCCAAGGCAGGCAATATCCTGCTGGTTAAATGGAGAAGGAAAAATCATATTCTTTGAAAAGGCTTTTGAAACAATTCAGAGAAACAGTTTTTGTGTCTAAAAGAAGGAGAAAATACACAGAGAAGTAGAGCCAGATTCCAGACCCTATTCTGGAAAAGAAAGGTATTTCTGCGAAGTTTTGAAGCTACAAAAACAACCCACAAAAATGACATAGTAAGTTCAACCGTATAAAAATTTAGCACAGCATGATTTATAATGTGGTTTTGTTTTTTTCACAACTGGGAAATGATTTGGGGGGAAAGGGAATGGGTTCTTAGTTGATAAAGGCTAGAAACCTGCCAACGATTAGCTGCGATGGCCTCAGCCTCACGTTGCAATTGATCTGTCAAGACTCTCGCTTGTCTGTTGCAGTGCCCTGCGGGGGAAATTTAACAGAGCGAAAAGGCACCATTTTATCCCCCGGATTCCCCGAGCCCTACTTGAACAGCCTCAACTGTGTCTGGAAAATTACTGTTCCTGAAGGCGCTGGCATACAGGTAAAGATGGAATCCAAAATTCGCAACACTGGGTCTTATGGAGCAGGGCACTCAAAATAACCTAGATCCTGCTACAGTTAGATCTGTATCCAGCAGATGAAAACATTAAATCCTGAGATCCTATAAAGACATGTAGCTTAGCATGAAATCAGCCCCTTCCTTCTCCCTGGGCACAGGGGTATCTCTGCTGAGCTCTGTGGTCATCTGAGGATGGTGATGGCAAAATGGATTTTTTTTGTTGTTATTTTATGTCAGGAGTGATTTGAGAAACTGCAAGTCACTTCTGGTGTGAGAGAATTGACCATCCGCCCAGGGGACGCCCGGATGTTTTGATGTGTTGCCATCCTTGTGGCAGGATTCTCTCATGGGAACCTGGAGCTGACTGAGGGAGCTCAACCCACTCTCCCTGGTTTCAAACTGCTGACCTGTCAGTCAGCAATCCTGCCAACACAAGGATTTAACCAATTTTACAACCCAGGGCTTGGGCAAAATGGATGGTAACGTGGGACTGATGTGGTCTTTGGCTGGCTTAACTGGGTGGATTGAAGTCCAGGGACAGTTTGGAGAATTTCCGCTCTGGTCTGACTCCAGATTGACCAGTGTTACTGAATCCTGAGTATAATCAATTACTGAAACCATTCATTTTTCTCAAACTTTCCAAGCTCTGGATGTATGCTTGTTTCATTCAGTAGATCCTGTTGTTAGCTAGAAAAGAGCCATGGACTCAGTTGCTGATTGCTGATACAAGATGTGTAGATCCCATTTTTTCAGTTGCACTAAGCCAAAACTAAGGGTGGGTTGAAGCCTGGAAATAGGGGTAATGTTCAAAAACATTCAGAGAACTGTAAAAAATAAGTGTGGAGAAGCTCTGACGAGAATAATACTCGAATAATAATAATAATAATAATAATAATAATAATAATAATAATAATCTATAGAAATAAAAATGTAATGTTTGTTTGTGGGATTAACATAACTCAAAAACCACTGGACTAATTGACACCAAATTTGGATACAATACACCTATCAGGCCAATGCATGACCGTCACTCATAAAAACACTGAAAAACACAGCAGAAGGGACAAAAAAACAAAAAGTTGCTGCAGTGCAACTCCCCCTGGCAAACAAAGCACACAATAGCATATCCGCACTTTCTTCAGGACTACAGCTCCCAGCATCCCCTAGACCAGGCCCTTTAGGAGAGGAGGAGGATCCAAATGCACTGCTTCCATGCTGCAAGCTTTCTTCCCCTTGGATTTCTTTGAGAGCATCCCAATCCCTGCATATTTCCAATTTCCTATTACTGGACTGCAACTCCCATCAATCCTCCAGATAGATAAAATAGATAGATTATATAGAGATAGGTAAGTATGTAGATAGATTGATCAGGAAGACTGTTGGGAGTTCAGTCCAAGAATAGGTAGAGATGGAAGGAAGGGAGAGAAAAGGGGGGGGGAGGAAGGGAAGACGAAGAGAAGGAAGGAAGGAAGGAAGGAAGGAAGGAGAGAATGAAAGAAAAAAGGGAAAGAAGGAAGGAAAGAATGAAGGACAGAAAGAAAGGAGGAGAGAAAGAGGGAGGAAAGGTTGGCCACAGCAACACATGGCGGGTACAGCTAGTAATAATAATTGCTGTAGAGTAAATAAATAAATAAATAAATAATAACAACAACACTTTATTTGTACCCCGCTACCATCTCCCCAAGGGACTCGGTGCGGCTTACATGAGGCCGAGCCCGAATACAACATTACAAACAAAACAACAACAGTACAAGTAATTAAAATAAAACATAGACAATAAAATATACAACATTATCAATAAGACAACACGCAATTAAAAACAGTGGGAAGGCCAAATGTAAAGTTAAAATTGAAATAATGCTAGGACGTGGACGAAAGGTGATAGTAGCATTTGTGGAAGGGCATATGAGCAGATCTAAAAAGTGTAAAGTGCTTTGGAGGACAAAGTGCTATGGGATCATTATTCCGGGAAGGCACACTGGAACAACCACGTCTACAAGCTCCTCCTAAAGACTGCCAAGGTTGGGGCCTGTCTGATGTCTTTAGGGAGTGAGTTCCAGAGTTGAGGGGCCACCACCGAAAGGCTCTCTCTCTCGTCCCCACCAACTGCGCCTGCGATGCTGGTGGGATCGAGAGCAGGGCCTCCCCGGATGATCAAAGGGATAATGTGGGTTCGTATACAGAGATGCAGTCACGCAGGTAGACAGGATTCGATCCCAGAAGTATAAAGTGCAAATGAAGAATCGAAAGGTCCTCATCTATTAGAGAGTGTAAACATGGACAAAGGCTTGTCAGAAAAGCCGGAAAGGTTTGGAGGGTGGAGGCTAGCCTGATCTCCCTCAGGAGAGCATTCCAAAACCAGGGGGCCACCACCGAGAACGGCTTCTCTCTCGTCCCCACCAACTGCACTTGAGACGGAGGTGGAACCGAGAGGAGGGCCTCCCCAGTAGATCTTAAAGCCCCTGCTGGTTCATAGAAGGAAATGCAGTCTCAGGCAGGTTGGACCCGAAATGTATAGGGCAGGGTTCCTCAAACTTTTTAAACAGAGGGCCAGGTCACAGTCCCTCAAACTGTTGGAGGGCCAGATTATAATTTGAAAAAAGCATGAATGAATTCCTATGCACACTGCACATATCTTATTAGTAGTGCAAAAAACACTTAAAAACAATCCAATAATTAAAATGAAGATCAATTTTAACAAATATAAACTTATTAATATTTCAGTGGGAAGTGTGGGCCTGCTTTTGGCTGATAAGATTGTTGTTGTTGTTGTATGCTTTCAAGTCGTTTTAGACTTAGGGTGACCCTGAGCGAGGGCCGGGTAAATTACCTTGGAGGGCCGTATCCGGCCCCCGGGCCTTAGTTTGAGGACCCCTGGTATAGGGCTTTTATATATAATAACCTGCACTTTGAATTCGGTCCAAAAATTCACCAGCAGCCAGTGGAGCTGCTTTAGTAGGGACATGGTGTGCTCCCAAAAACCAGCTCCAGTTAGTAATCTGGCCGCTGACCTTTGTAGTAACTGCAGTTTCTGAGCCGTTTCTGACAGCTCCACGTAGAGTAGTAGAATCTTTGCAGTTCCTGACTTATTCTGCACAAAATTAATTTGTGGTTGTTTTGTGCATAAAATAGCATTTTGTGTGCAAAAAGCCACATTTTCCGAACAGAAAATGATACTGCTACAGAGAAGGATTATTCCGTGCAGATAAAATGTTGTTTTCTATGCCCAAACTGCTATAATTTGGAATTTATTCTTCACAAAATTCATATTAAATTTTTTATATAGGGAAAAAAAAAACATTTCTCCACAGGGAGCAGCATTTTTTGCTCTCAAAGTATTATTTTTTTGCACAGGAAATTCTGTTTCTTACACAGAAAATGGTGTCTTATATGCAAAACAACCGTATGCAGACTTTGAATAAGTCCAGGGTTACAAATTGGATTTGGAAACAGCATAGTTGTGGAGGATTTTCTCACAGCAAGAAGGAAAATGTTAAAATTACTCTCTGCTTCTTTCGAGAAGAAACTTAGGGGAGCAATGCATCCCTCCTTACAACTAAGGCGAGTCCCACAGATTGTAAAGAAGACTCAGTCATTCCAGTCCAACCTCACAGTGCCAATTTAACTTGTCTATTATGCTCATTCGTGTTCTTAGAAATCATAAATATATGATCATAACGGCTCTGCTTTTATGGGCAGGCAGAAGGGGGAGAGCAAAACAATTAGCGGCAGCAAGCAGATATTTTGCAGCTTCCAAAGTTGGCAAGAAGCAGACTTTTCCTTGAGTGTAAAGTTAATAAGCAGGTTTGTTTTGTTTGAGATGGCTCTTTAAGCACACACAGTCAAAGATAATGGCTAATTTTGCTTTGGATTTCTTGCAGATTGTCTCCATTATTATTAGTAAGTCTCATAGACATTGCAAAGGGGACGGGGGGCTCATTTTTAGCCAAAAACACAGAATTGTTTTAACAGTTGAGGTGGTGTTTAAGGCAACTATTCATTCATTCATTAACAATGATGGAAAGACAGAAGAAACCAGACAGCTGTTAAGCACTTCATCACATTGAGGCAGGGAAGTAGACCTCATGGGCCATCCAGTCCAACCCCCTGCCAAGAAGCAGGAATATTGCATTCAAATCACCCCTGACAGATGGCCATCCAGCCTCTGTTTAAAAGCTTCCAAAGAAGGCACCTCCACCACACTCTGGGGCAAAGAGTTCCACTGCTGAATGGCTCTCACAGTCAGGAAGTTCTTCCTCATGTTCAGATGGAATCTCCTCTCTTGTAGTTTGAAGCCATTGTTCCGCGTCCTAGTCTCCAAGGAAGCAGAAAACAAGCTTACTCCCTCCTCCCTGTGGCTTCCTCTCACATATTTATACATGGCTATCATATCTCCTCTCAGCCTTCTCTTCTTCAGGCTAGACATGCCCACCTCCTTAAGCCGTTCCTCATAGGGCTTGTTCTCTAGACCCTTGATCATTTTAGCCGCCCTCCTCTGGACACATTCCAGCTTGTAATAAATGTGATGAAGTGGTAGGTATTTCTTCCTTCCTTTCATTCAGCCATCTATCCATCCATCTTTTCTCTTCTTCCTTATTCTTCAAAAAAAGTCTTCATCCCCTCCTCTTCCTCCTTTCCTCCTCTTTCTCCTTCTCTCTTTCCTTTTCCTTCACTTTATTTTTTTTCCTCCTCTTTCTCCTCCTCCTCCTGCCTTTAGTTTGGAATGCGGTGCTCCTTGCAAATGCCCTGAGCAAAGCTGCTAATGGGTTTTCTGGAATGCAGGCTACAAAGCTAAAGAGAGCGCGAAGAAGAAATTGAGAGAGAAGGAAAGATATTTAAGGAAGACATGTCTTTATTCACTAAAGCTAATCCACTTCCACCCCTCTTTTCGTCCCCCCTATTCCATCTAAGCCATTTTTTTAACCATTCTACCAAAGAGCCCGGAGTTTCTCAGAAGCTTATTAAAGGTTCCTGAATGAGGA